AAAGCTTCTTATTTTAATATAGTCAAAATTATCTATTTTGCATCTCATAACGCTCTCTATCTCTTGCTCGGTCATGAATTCTTCCCTTCTCCTTAGATCTGGCAGGTAGACTATATCTTGCTCTTCTAATTTGCTTATGGTATCACCCTTTATGTCTAAATGATGTACCCATTTTTACCTTATCTTGTTATACCTTGGTATATGGTATGAAATGTTGCTCTATGCCTAGTTTTTGCCCTATTGTTTTCCAGTTTTACCAGTTGTTTTTGTCAAATAGTGAGTTCTTATCCCAAAGGATGAGGTCTTTGGGTTTATCAAACACATGGTTACTATGGTCATTGACTACTGTGTCTTATGTACCCAGCACCAGATAGTTTTGAGGATTACTGCTTTATAACATGGTTTGAGATGTGATATTGCAAGGCCACCTTCCTTTATATATTTTTTTCATTAATTCTCTTGATATTCTTGACTTTTTGTTCTTTCAGATGAATTTTGTGTTTTTTTTTCTAACTGTAAAATAATTTTCTGGTAGTTTGGTATTGTACTGAATAAATAAATTAACTTTGGAAGAATTGTCATTTTTATTATATTAGCTCAGTCTATCCATGAGCAACTGATATTTTTCCAAATGTATAGATCTGATTTTATTTATGTGAAAAGTGTTTTGTAATTGTATTTATATAGCTCCTGGATTTGTCTTGGCAGATAGATTCCTAAGTATTTTATATTGTTTACAGTTATTTTAAATGGAATTTCTCTTTCTATCTCTTGTTGCTGGACTCTGTTGGTCATATAAAGAAATGCTAATGATTTATGTGGGTTTATCTTATATCCTGCAACTTTGCTTAAGTTGGTAATTATTTCAAGTAGTTTTTCAGTTGATTCTCTAGGGTTCTCTAGTTATGAGTGATAGTTTTGTTTCCTCATTGCATATTCTAATTCCTTCTATTTTTTTCTTCTCTTATTGCTATAGCTAACATTTCTAGTACTATATTTAGTAATAGTGGTGATAATGGGCATCCTTGCTTCACCCTGATCTTATTGGGAAGTCTTGTAGCTTATCCCCCTTATAGATAATGCTTACTGATGATTTTAGGTAGATACTGCTTCTCATGTTAAGGAACATTCCCTTTATTCCTATGCTCTCTGGTGTTTTTAGTAGGAATGTGTGCTGTATTTTGTCAGAGGCTTTTTCAACTTCTATTGAGATAATTATATGATTTCTGTTGGTTTTGTTATTGATGTGGTCAATTATGTTGATAGTTTTCCTACTATTGAACCAACCTTGCATTCCTGTTATAAATTCCATTTGATCATAGTGTATAATCCTTATGATATATTACTATAATTGCCTTGCTAGTATTTCATTTAAAATTTTTGCATCAATATTCTTTGGGGAAATTGGTCTATAATTCTCTTTCTCTGTTTTACCTCTTCCTGGTTTGGGTATCAGTACCATATTTGTGTCATAAGAGGAATTTGGTAAGACTCCTTCTTTGTCTATTTTCCCAAATAGTTTATATAGTATTGGAATTAATTGTTCTTTAATGTTTGGTAGGATTCATTGTGAACCCATCTGGCCCTAGGGATTTTTTCTTAAGAAGTTCATGGGATTATTTAGTCATTCTATTTCCTGATCTGTTAATCAAGGCAATTTACATTTTCATAAATATACATTGATTTTTACTCAAATTTTCAGATTTATTGGCATATAATTGGGCAAAATATTTCCTAATGATTGTGTTAATTTCTTCTTCATTGGTCGTAATTTCACCCTTTTCATTTTTGATCCTGAGTATTTGGTTTTATTGTTTTTTTTAAATCAAATTAACTAATGGCTTATATATTTTATTGTTTTTTTCATAAAACCTATTCCTAGTTTTATTTATTTGTTCAATAGCTTTTTTTTGCTTTTAATTTTATTAATCTCACTTTTGATTTTCAGAATTTCCAATTTGATGCTTAAATGAGAACTTTTAATTTGTTCTTTTTTTTATGTTGTTGTTGTTGTTGTTGTTGTTGTATGCCCGATTCATTGATCTACTCTTTCTCAGTTTTGTTGATGTAAGAATTTAGAGAAATGAATTCTCCTGTAAGAACTGCTTTGGCTGCATCCCATAAATTTGGGGATGTTATCTCATTGTTGTCATGCTCTAATGAAATTATTGATCATTTCTATGACTTGTTCTTTGAGCCACTTATTCTTTAGGATTAGATTGTTTAGTTTCAATTAATTTTTAATCTATTTTTCCACTGCCCTCTGTTGAATGTAATGTTTATTGCACTATGATCTGAAAAGAATACATTTAATATTTCTGCCTTTCTACATTTGATTTTGAGGTTTTTATACCCTAAAATAGGGGTAGGGAACCTGTGGCCTCAAGGCCACATGTGGCCTTCTTGGGTGTGACCTTTTGACTGAGTCCCAATTTTACAGAACAAATCCTTTTTTGGGGGATTTGTTCTGTGAAGTTTGGATTTGGTCAAAGGCCTGCACTTGGAGAACCTAGAGGGCCATATGTGGCCTCAAGGCCACAGGTTCCCCACCCCTGCCTTAGTCTATTGCAATAATATCAACTGGTCTCAATGGTCCCCATCTGTCCTGTCTCCTAGAATACTATCCATATCCTATCAATCTCTCCTATCTCTGGTCTCTTATCCATCATTCATATAGCTGCCAAAATTATTTTCTGGCTCAGAATCCTTGAATCCTCCCTTGATCCACCAGCAGAAATGAATGAAGGGGGGGAGTATTAAATATTCATTATGAGCAATTACCCTGTGCAATGTACTGAGCATACGAGCAACAGAAACCCTTTTCTCACCTGCTCAAATTCTGAGAGAGACAACACATACAAGAGGCTTCAGCTGCAGTTCAGATGGCAAGGCTCAGTGTTTCCTAGGTGCTATGGTAAGGCAGATGGTAATGCACCCTCTTTAGTAAAATTTTCATTAAAAACCGTGTCAGTGGTCTGATGTTGAAGAACTTGATGATGGCAAAGGCTTTGGCAATGAAAACTTCATTTTCCAGTTCGTAGCTCAGGAGCTAGGCCTGCTGTGAACATTGGAGCAGCAGCACCAGCCGCTTCTTCCCGAGGGTGGCCTGAACAATGGCCACAGGTGAAAGGCTAGAAACAGGATGAGGTGGAGTTGGGGATCAGAGGGAAGTTCTTGGTCTTACCTGCCTGTTGGTGTTAGTCAACAGTTGGGATTGATGGTGGGGAAGGCAGGCTGCTTCTTTCTCCTCAGGGGTTAATCTCCTAGTGGATGTCCACAGGGACTGAGACTTGGGCTGTCTGAGGAGAGGTAGCGGTATTCAGGCCCTTTTCCATCCTAACCTCTTGCACATTTCCATCCCGCACACATTTCATTGGAACTTGTGTTATAATTATTCATGCACATATACTCTTCTGTTAGACTGAAGCTTATGAGCAGGCAATGGATTGGGTTTCATCTGTGCCTCTCCAGTGACTTCCACATAGTAGGTGCTTAGATGGTTCACGACTTCCAATTCATTTTTTTTTCCCAGAGTAGGGGAAAATTCCATAAATTTAAATGGACAAACTTATTTCTAGGACAGTCACATGACCATCCCTTTACGTGGGGATGATTCTGTTGAACTAGTGAATTTGTATTGCACAACAATGATGCGACTCGTGAATAATAACTAACACTTCTAGAGCCCTGTGAGATTTGTGAAACACTTTACTTACACTCAGCTGACCCTCACAATAATTTTCTGAGGTATAGTCTACGTTATTTCTATTCCCATTTTACAGATTAAGAAACTGAGGCTGAGAGGAGTGCCACAGTCACACAGTCACTTTGAACCCAGTAAGTTTCAAAGGCGGGATTTTTTACATACAGGTATTTCCTGATCCCCAGTCCAGGGCTTTTCCCACTATTCTAAGCTACCTTAAAAAAAGCTTTCACGAGTCGATTTCCCCACATAACTTCACGACAGATTTCAAGCACTAAGGAAGGAAACAAGTATTTATTAAGTACCTACTATGTGCCAGGCACTATGCTAAAAACTTTACAAATATGATCTCATTTGATCCTCACAATAACCCTGGAGAGTAGGTGCTATTGTTATCATCATGTTACAGATGAGGAAACTGATGCAAACAGAAGTTAAGTGACTCACCCAGGTAAGTAAAAAGTTGACAGCTAGTAAATGTCTGAGGCTGGATTTGAACTCAGTTCTTCCTGACTCTAGGCCCAATGTTCTATCTACTGAGTCCTAGCCAATGTGGCATATGTCAACAAAATCCCTGAAAATTAATTTTCACAGGACAAGACAATGTTTTCAAAAAAGGTAAATAGGGCCAAGGGCAGCTAGGAGGTGCAATGGATAGAGTGTTGGGCCTGGAATCAGGAAGATTCATCTTCCTGAGCTCAAATCTGACCTCAGACATTTACTAGATGTGTGACCCTAGGCAAGTCACTTTACCCCATTTGCCTCAATTTACTCATCTGTGAAATGAGCTGGAGAAGGAAATGGCAAACCACTCCAGCATTTTTGCAAGAAAACCCCAAATAGGCTCACAAAGAGTTGGATATGACCGAAACAACCTAACAACAGCAAAAATGTCAATCTGACCCATGTGCAGACCTTATCCGCTTGCTCAGCTGATGCAACTTCCCATCATGGAAAAATTTGAAAGCAGGCGTCTAGGAGACGAGTAATGACATATAATGAAAGCTGCATCAGCCAAACACCCCAGTGGGGTCTGCACAAAGGGATAACACTTTTAAATGCTTCGAGTAGCTCAGAAGAAAGGTTGAAAGAACGAGATCATGTTAATAATTAATGAGCAAATATACCTAAAGTTAGAATTACCAGAAATAAAACTTCACAGGTTTCTGACACTAATTTTTTCTTTCCTGGATACCTTTATGATTTCTTCAATTTCCAAAGTGATAACAGTTATTTGAAGTTATCAAGGAAAACTGAAAATTGTGTAACACTTTTAAAAAATCCACTTGTCTTGTAGCGGGCCCCTCAGTCATTGTTAGAGCGCTCAGAAGAGCAGATCCGGGCCGCATCTAGCTTGGAGGAACTCCTCAGGATCACTCACTCTGAAGACTGGAAGCTGTGGAAATGTCGACTGAAGCTCAAGAGCTTAGCTAGTATGGACTCCCGCTCAGCATCCCATCGCTCCACCAGATTTGCCGCAACATTTTATGACATTGAAACACTTAAAGGTAGACGTGTGGTTGTGCTTCTAACTCTCCTGTCAAATTTTTGGCATCAATCATCTATCCCATCTGTTTCATTATGTTTAAGTAAAACAGGCAGACATGTAGAAAATGATTTTTTTAGAAAAGGGTCTTTTGTCATTCTCTGCTTGAGTATTGGTATTGAATCATGATTCCCAGTTTATTCCAAATGGAAATATGTGAAAAGCGATTTTTCAACCATTCAACAGCAAAAGAATAAGATGGCCAAATGGGGAAAAATACTTAACCCTATGATATCTAGGAAATGTAAAGCCAAAAAGAATAACCAATAGAAAAGTAGAACTGAAAGGGGGCTAATATATATGGTCTTTTGATTTTCTTTCTGTGACCCCCACTGAGAAAAACAAGGAAATACAGAAAGAAACATTATAATGGATATTGCTATTTTGTGATAAATTATGGCAAAAATGAACTCACGAAGCAAAAGAACCAAAAACTCCAGCCTAACAAATAAGATCATTTGAATAATATCAAGCTGAATTTTATAACACCTACACATATGTATATAAATATACATGTATACTTTATGCTATATATGTGCTATATATAGCACTTTTCAAAATGATTTGTTCACATATAATATATACATACATGCATATGTATGTACACACACATATACACTGAGTGTTCTGAAAGTCTTAACTATTAATAGTTTAAAACTACACTATGACTTTTGGGACACCCTGTATGCTATCTCATTTGAAATTATTCACACCAAGTTTGGTAGAATTTATTATTCTCATCCTTAGAGAAACTCTGACTCAGAAAGGGTAAGAGATTTGTCCACTCTCTCATAGCTAGTGAATGGCAGAGTTGAAGAAGAATCTTTCTTCCTAATATTACTGCCTCTATTGAAATGATGGTTTTGTGTTTCCATGAGAAGAGATAGGAATCTTTTGGATTAGAACCATTGTAGGTAACCTGGCAAGATAGTAGAACTGTCTACCAGGGAAAGTTAGATGTTCTGGCACTTTCTCCATTCTATGGAACCATGTCTATATGATACTAAACAGAAGTTTCTCTCATATAAATAATTGATTGTTACAGTCATATCCACTATCTTAGGATTTAAACAAATGGTCAGGCTCTTATACTGAATATGCTTTAGTTATTTTTTTTCTTCCTAATAGGAGAACGGGAGGTAAATGAATACAAGAGCTTATTCTACACCAAGGGTTCTTAACTTTGGGTCCATACACCCCCAAGAAGTCCATAGATAGATTTTGGGGGGGTGTATGCACTTGGATAGGGAAAAAATACAGTCATCCCTTATACGTGGTGAATTTCCCCATCATGGGTTTCGACATATTACAGGCATGTGATCGGCATGAGAATTTAATTTAATCAGCATGAGAAATTAAATTGGAATTTTGGGGGAGTTTTGTGGAAGCCTCAGATGACATGCTAAGGCCAGCAGACAATACAGAAAAAGTTCAGAAACTCAGAAATGCATAACATATATGTATTGTATAATATCACCATAATACTTCAACAATTCAGACTTCTTTTCTGGTACAACGGGAGGGCAAAAAAATTTTATGCAGATTTTCCAGATCATAGGGATGCCATGTCCCTAACCCCCAAGATGTAGAAGGGATAACTGTATATCTTTAGTTTCACTAATCTCTAAAATTTATCATTTCCTTCAATTATGAATATACGTACCAATATGTAAAGGTTCATAGACTTTATAGTAAATTGCCAAAGGATCTAAGATATAAAAAAAGGTTGGTAAGTTCTGTTCTAGGTGCAACCTGACCTTTGCTTTTCCATTCATAAAGATATTCATCCTTTGACTTTTTTCATAATTATGCTTTCCATTAAAATCTAGTCATATAGTGATAAGCATAAATAGCAGCTAGGAGGTACTCTGGCCTTGGAGTCAGGAGGACACAAGTTCAAATCCGGCCTCAGACACTTGACGCTAGCTGTGTGACCCTGGGCAAGTCACTCAACCCCGATTGCCTCACCAAAAAAAAAAAAAGAATAGAAAAATAAATAGAATATGAATAGAACAGAAAATTGTTATACAGGTATTTTTTTATAAAAATGCTACCCTAACTTAAGTATTCACTTTACATTAAAAACCTTATGATTAATAAAGTAGAATTAAACTATTACCTCATTATTGACTTCTTGGAGCAAGTATATATACTTTTAAAGAACTGAGTAAGTAGAATTCTTAAATATTTAAATGCTTCCCTGCCAAAATAAATGAAAAAGCAATGCAACAAGGTCAAAGTAAACCCTATGGCATATCTTATATTTAACAGTTTGCCAAATATCGGGTAGTTTAAGTTTTACTGAGGAAGCCTCCAATGGAAGAAATTAGGTCATAGTGAAAATGAAAGCATAGAAAAAAAGGTTTAGAAATAGTCATTTTAGTGTCAGTCCTATTTTAGAGAAGTCTACCAGAGCTATGTATTTTAACCAGAAATCTTAGGTTTTTGGGAATTGTGTTCTGATTATAAAATCCCACCAGAAGAGACCATTTTGTTTTAGCACCCAAGAATATAAGCAGTCAGTAAAGTTTGTTGAATGTGTATTATTTTCATATGGGATAATAATAATAATAATAATGATAACAACACCTAATATGTATATGGTGCCAGGCACAAGCACTTTGGATATATTATTTCATTTGATCTTCTGCAAGGTGGATGCTATTATTACCACCATTTTACAGCTGAAGAAACTGAAGCAACCAAAAGTGACTCGTCCACAAAGCTAGTAGGTGTCTGGGTTTGTATTTGTACTCAAGTCTTCCTGACTCAAGGCCCAGTACTCTATCCACAATATTCTGATAATAGAGTAATGTAAATTGACACAGATATAAAAATAAAAACAGAATAGGTTTAAAAAAATTCTGAAACTAAACTAACTATAAAGATCAAATATTTTCCAAGAAGATATACAGATCCAAAAGCAAAGTTTACTCAATATTTGAATATCTAAGTGTCAAAATCTAACAAAGGCTAGCAAAGTGGATTCTATTTTACAGAAAAGTAATTTCTTTTTTATTGCCAGCAGTTTTTTTTTCTTTTCCTTCCCCTTCTGCTTGATTCTTGTTAGCATAGTTAAAACATTATTTTGTCTGCAGGTCTTAATTTCATCATCACTTGGAACCATGATTCTAGGACATTTCATTATGAGGCATCTTACACAGATTATGAAGAAATTAGTCTGCTGAATTTTCCGTTCATTGTCATTGTCCAAAATATGATCCTTTTGTGATATATTATCATTAGAAATGGATTTCTACATAGGCCTATGAACACGTGCCATCACTGGCTTCAAATGGAAGCAATTGTGTCTGGCTGGAATACTATAAAGTTCTTAATAAATGTCATTCAATTCAATGTGCTTTTATTTATCTTCTTATTAATCAGCTTTTCCAGATGGGCACTGTGTGGTTATAAAATGGATTGGATGATTCTCACCAAAGGCAAATAAATAATTACCAGTACCTTTACCAGCCCCCACTCCCTCCCCATGAATGGAGCTTGGAAGAAAGTTCTTCCTCCCCCTTAAAAGACTAGTTTTGCTTATATAAACTGTTTAAAATAACCAGTAAATGAAAGAAATGAACACAAAACATGAAAATTATATCATTAATATGGCTACTGCTCACACATTGTAATACTAAAAATATTACTTAATTTACTGTTTTCAATTAATTTACTGTTTTCAATTAATTTTCTTTCTTCAGTTATAGATGAAGAATGGCAGAGAACTCAATGTACTCCAAGAGAGACCTGTGTGGAAGTAGCCAAGGAGCTTGGGAAAAGCACTAACACTTTCTTTAAGCCCCCCTGTGTGAATGTATTCCGGTGTGGAGGCTGCTGCAATGAAGAAAGCCTCCTTTGTATAAATACAAGCACATCATATGTTTCAAAACAGGTAATGCAAATGTTCATGATTCCTATAAAGAAATGCAAGCATTAATGCCCCAAATCAGAGAACGATGTTAATGATTCAGTAATGTGATGGTGAAAGGACATTGTCTGGTCAATAAATAAAATATATTTATCAGCCCAAGAAAAAAGCTCTTTCAAAGGATACCCTATCAGTTGTCCAATGGAACAAACATTGCTTATGTGAGTGGTGAGGGAAAAAAATGGCAGGTTACATGGCAAGAACTCTATGGTTTAGTTAAGAGACATGATGCTGAAAGGCTTGTAAATCAAATTAGAACATTTTTATCATTATTATTATTATTAGTAGTAGTTTGTTGTCATAGTCACATAATCCTTTTCTTAATGTTTTCTTAATTCCTCTGTGAAAGCTGATATTCTGATAAAATTCTATATAAACTGAATATTTGTTCATCTGAGCACTTGTACCAAAATGGAATAGTAGAACTCTGGCTTTATATGATACTAATGGGTCAAATTACTCATAATTTTTATCAGTCAGAATGGGGAAATTTCTGTGACTAAATGACAATGGAACAATCTAATGTAGTATGATGTGAGATATTTGTGAAAATTCTGACCTCTACTGTTCAAGAGTTAGAAGAATGCCCTCAGCATTCTAAGCAACAACTGTCAGTTAGAAACAAAGCTTACATAACATGACAGTAATTAGTTTATGTGACTTAAAATAGATATTTTTGTAGCATACATGAAAATTTGCACAAGCAAGCTAAGATTAAAAACAGAATGGCATAAATAAAACCGAATAGGTCCCAGTCACTGGCCCAAGACTGGTTTTACTTAGTAAATGTTTTTGTTCAGTTGTTTTCAGTCATGCCTTCTCAGCAAAGATACTGTAGTAGTTTGCCATTTCCTTCTCAAACTTATTTTACAGATGAGGAAACTAAGGCAAATAGGGTTAAATGACTTACCCAGGGTCCCACAGCTAATAAATGTCTGTGGCCACATATGAATTCATGAAGATGAGTCTTCCTGACTCCAGTCCTAGCACTTTTTCCACTGTACTACCTGGCTTCTTTAGTAAATAGATGGAAACTTAAAAAAGTCATGCTCAAAATATTTTTAAAAGTAATACAACTATACAAAGTCCTATACTTGCTTTACAAGTATGCATAATTGAAAGTTTTAATTCGGTCCCAATGACAACTTTCACCCTGAAGTTGTAGAATATATTTAATGAATTAATAAAATTAGAGTAGTAACATTAATACACTATCAGAGTGCTTTCCTCACAGTCATCCTGTGAGGTAGGTACTACAACTATTATTCACCCTATTGTAGAGAAGAGGACACTAAGGCTTCCTGACAGTACGGGTCTTGCAACAGGCAAATCATGTCAGAAGTAACACTCCAACCCAAGAAACATATAAAATGGAAACTAAAAACACATAAGATGGAAGTTCAAACTTCTCTGTGCATTTTCTAGACCTGCTCTAAAAGTAGTCTTTGCCCATTCTTTTATGGACCCATTTGCCAAAATTCTGAGCCTTTTCCTCCAAACCACATTAAGAAGACAACAAAATCATACTTCAACTTTCTTCCTTAATGGACTTAGAGCACAATGACATTGTAGTATATCATTTTATCCTTTGGGACCCTCTCTGTGAAGCAGCATCAAGCACCCTCATTCCAATTTTATCAGGGAAAATGGGCATTAAGCATTTAAGCAATTTGATAAAGCTCATACAATGATAGAGCTGGGAAAAGAACCTTATGCTTCATGCTCTTTCCAATAACCTATTCTTGAGTCCACATGACCTCAATTATAGTTTTCATTCAGTTGGCAATTTTCCTATAGTTACTACCATTGAGAATAAAAGAATGCAAGGGGAAATACAGAATGTGATAGTCATTAAAATAATTTAAATATAATTAGGCATGCATTATAATTATCTTTCTTCTCCAACAGCTTTTTGAAATAACAGTGCCTTTAACAACTGTACCCGAATTAGTACCAGTTAAGGTTGCTAACCATACAGGGTGTAAGTGCCAATCAGCTACTCAACATCACCCATATTCCATCATAAGAAGATCCATCCAAATCCCTGAAGAGGACCGGTAAGACAGCTGCTTCACTTAATTTTGCTAGGTTTTCTTTTTTCCAAAGCTTTATGCATGTAGCATGATTCTGTCAACACTCAACAAACATGTATTGATACTATTCTTTTTTCCTTCAAGTTCTGGTATTGTTCTTTCATCACATGCCTTCTAGATCATTTCTATCTGCACTGACTACTCTTTAAAGTCACTATGTTGCTATGCATTAACTCCTTTCTTTATTAGGTGTTAGATGTAAACTGAAGCCAATCTCAAAAACCTTGTTAGGAAGAGACTTTACATGTCTAACACTCAGCATACCTTTTTTTTTATATGTGCATAGTTTTATGGTGTTGTAAAACACTACTCCAGCCTCCCACTTGGCCAAATCTCTTGAGTCCTAGAATAAATAGATTAAATAAAATTGAGTTTTTATACTTTAGGAGTCCAAAAGTGCCAAGAAAAGGATGCCTACTGTTGTAGCAGGATGTCTCAAAATTTAAGACATAATGGTATTTTTCTTATTTCTTATCTCACAATGGGGTGAATAATATTTGTACTACCTACGTCACAGGGTGATTGTGAGGAAAGCGCTCTGATGTACCTATTATATTAATGTTACTTCTCTAATTTTATTAATTCATCAAGCATTCTACAACTTTGGGGTGAAAGTTGATGTTTGGACTGAATTTTTCTTATTAATGTCTCTCATTTCTTACATTGGTGAGGGTAACCCATGACCTCTTTTCATTAAGTCATCCATTCATCATTACAAGTTTGCCTACAAATTCAGGAAGTCAGTGTATCTATCAATTTCAAATATGTTCCTCCTTTCTCCCTTTTTACCTCAGTAATATAAAATTTAGTGGAGGCTCCACAAGTAGATATGTGGACCAGGAAAAAAAAAAGGACTATGTGTCCATTTTCTGATTATTTCAGTTAAGAGAAACAAAAGAGACAGTTTGGTCAGAAAGCCTTTATTTTTAATTTGCATTGCTTTTAATGTAAAATTTCTTTTAAAAAATATATTTTATTGATATCTTTCATTCTTAAATTTCCTAGATTTCTCCCTATATATCTTTTTATACCACCTCCAAAAGATTTTTTTAAAAGATAGGGGGAAAGGGGGAAAAAACACCCAGTAAAACTGAAGAATACATTTTTAAAAAATCTGACATTTGCTGCAATGTTCCACATCTGTGGATCTCTCCCCTTCCCACCTGTGACTGAGCAGTGAGGGCAGGTGTCTTCTCATAGTTCTTCTTTATCCTTTATACGTTTGGAGCATTCCTTTTTAATTGTTTTGTGGTGGTGGTTCTTTCCATTTACATCAATGTAGCCTTTACACATACTATTTTCTTGGCTCTGCTTGCCTCAGTTTTCACCAGTTCATGTCAGTCTTCTCAAATCTTTTTAACTCTAATACTTTTCATACATGTTCACCATTTCTTATAGCACAGTAATAGTCCATTATATTCATGTACCACAATTTATTTAGCTAATCCTTAACTGATGGGTATCTACATAATTTTCCAATTATATGTTACCACATAAAGTTCTGCTCAAAATATTTTGGTGCATGAAAAGTCCACATGAATTAAAAGGAGATTTCAGACAGCATCTTCTCCTGCTCCACTATTCAGATTCTGATCACAAAATGCAGTTTAAGAATAGCTTGTTTGGCCAGGGTTTTGTTTTGTTTTGTTTTGTTCTGTTCTATTCTGTTGCTAAGCAGGGATACAACAGTGACTGGTTGGCTGCCATGTTCCTAGGAGAATTTTTGAATATGCAAATATCTTCCCACTTACCCATATATGTTCCTAATGCTGTTATATGTTAGATTAGCTTGGTTTTAATCCTTACCAACATTTTAGGAATGGGAGATTTGCTCTTGAATAAAAATGTTGCACTTTTTTCTCCATCCCCAATTTGGATTTTATGCTTACAGTATTCTCCAAACTGATTTCAAATGATCCACATAGGCTCATATTTCTAAATCAAATGACAAGTCAGAGAATGACCTGGGCCTTAGAGATTGTTTTAGTGAGCTAATTTATTTTATAGAAAGGAAGCTAAAAAGAAAAGTTAAGAAGAACTCACATTTATTTACCATTACAAAGTTAACAGGGCATTTTGCCAAAATAACACAGGTAGCCAATATAAATATTAATATCTCTATTTTAAAGATTGGGAAACTGAGACTCAGAGACATTAAATAATTTGCTCATGACTGCAGAATTAGCAAACCTTGGAGCTAGCATTTGAACCCGGTAGTCAACTGATTCCAAGCCACTGGGCCATACTGTGCAACTTTACCTCCCTGGCTTCAGTGATTTTGACTCTGGAGGACAGAGCGAGGCTGATGGCTTGGCCCAGCTCTGCCTCACTTAAATTCAATTCATTTGCAAGTCAAGACATTACCCTCCCAATGTCATTGGTCCTCTTCGAGAATGAAGGGGGCAGCTAGGTGGTGCAGTAGATAGAGTACTGGCCCTGAAGTCAGGAGGACCTGAGTTCAAATCCAGCCTCAGACCAAATACTTGACACTTACTAGTTGTGTGACCCCGGGCAAGTCACTTAACCCTAATTGTCTAAAGCAAACAAACAAACAAACAAACAAAAAAAGGAGAATGAAGGACAAGTAACATATCTAGTAGAAAGTAAAGGATGAGAACCAAATCTCTTGAGTCCTATTCTTTCTTGTATAGTGTGTGGTTTGTCCTTCATTCTCAAAGATGACCAAGCATTGGGAAGATGATGCCATGACTTGCAAGTGAATTTAAGAAAGGCTGTGCAAAGTCACCAGTGTTACTTTCTCCTCTAGAGCCAACTGGGCAACCAGATACAGATTAGGACAACTGGAAATAGTCTCCTTCCTCAAAACTCACAGCTGATATACAGCCATTCCTATTAAACACTGCCAAATACCAATGACTTCTGTTTTAATTAAACCACACAGAGTGAAGAAAGTATTGGTTCTAGTTTCAGATAGTAAAAGAAGACAATAAGGATAATGTACAAATAAAAACATTCTTTATAAACGATAGAACTATAAAGCAATGTACAGCCTGCTACAAATCAGTGTTTTTATTAGATTCGAATTACAACATGCCTGGGATCACAGATGACAGACACTCCAAGGGAAGAGCAACTTGAGTTGAAGGCAGCAGCCCTGGAACTAAACACCACGTTCTTAGTTCACAATAAAGAAAAGCAAAAAAAGTCCGTTTAAATCGTGTTTGCTTTTTAATTTAAAAATTTTGCTAAATGTAAAGAAATGCAACACTTTCTTTAAAAGTCACTAAAATATACTTGTGCCATTTTAAATTTTGCAAATATGAAGGAATGTGACATTTTATAAATATGAGAATATATTGCTATCACTCTTAAGTGGAGTCAACTAGCATTTCAGTAAAATCTGTATCTTTCAGAATATCAGCTAATTCAACAATTCAGTTCAACAAATAGTAAATACCTGAACAAGGATTAAGGATTTTAAAAAACCCTCCCTCCAGAGAGTTTATAGTCTACATATATAAGTAAATACAATTATGCAAAGTAATTTCAAGAAGGAGAAGACACTAAAAACTTGGGTGGGGATAAGAAGAGTTAAATCGGATGCACACTCTGCTTATGGGGGACCATCTGTGCAAAGAAGCAGAGGGATGGACTGCTGTGTACAGGGAATAGCTAGTAGGTTGATCTGACTAGCACACAGAGTGCAAGAAAGATGGTAACATGAAATAAGACTGGAAAGGAGGGGGGAGCCATTTGTGGAAGGTTTTAAATACTAGGTAAATTTGGACCACTCAAGAAAATGAGGGCTCTCTGAGTCCTGAGAGGAATTTTAAAGGGAGGAGACTTGATTAGATTCTCCTGCCTCTTCTGGTTCATTTACCTGGCAGCAAATGCCTCTCCCAATTAGTGGTTATGTGGTAACCCAAAGTCTACTGTAGGGAAAGGGGGAAAATGAGGAAACTAACACATAAGACATGTATCCAAAAGTGATTTTTCAAAGGATATTTTTTACAGTTGGTTGGAGATAGGAATGAAAAGATGCTGATTCTTCAAATCTCCATCTGAATAGAGGTGGTAATATGACAAATGACTGATTCTTCAAATCTACATCTAAATAGGGGTGGTAATATGGCAAATGGGAAATTGACTTACTAGAGTTTCTTTTTCATATAGGAAAAGTCCTATCCTTAATATATGTTAGAAATGCTCCCTCCTTCTGGGTGGAAAGCAAGTTATACTCCCTCTACTTCCTCTCTTTCCTTTGACATCTTGGAAAGCAGCAATTGGCTGAGAGGAACAAAAGCATTAAATTGGAATGCTTCCCAGTTTACTCAAAGACAGGAGGGATGTGAGAAGGGGGATGTGAAAGGTCTCTTCTATGATGTCAGAGGCTATTGGACCATATAGGTCCAGTTGGAAAAGGAGGTAAGGGCAAGGCTCTCAATTTGTTTTAAGGGTAAAAGCAAAAGAAAGAAAGAAAAAAAGAAAGAGAGAGAGAGAGAGAGAGAGAGAGAGAGAGAGAGAGAGAGAGAGAGAGAGAGAGAGAGAGAGAGAGAAAGAAAGAAAGAAAGAAAGAAAGAAAGAAAGAAAGAAAGAAAGAAAGAAAGAAAGAAAGAAAGAAAGAAAATGTGTAAGAATTTTGAGAAGAATAGGTGACACACTAGACAACAGAATCAGGATCCAAAAGGATCTTGACAAAGATCAGAGCTGTCACAACATGTAGCCAGTGGTGACACGCCTGCTTGCAACACTCCCTAATACAGTCAAAACCAGATTAAAATGTAATTGGAAATGCTTAACATTTTGTTGCATAACATTGTTAGCGAAAATGTTAAGCATTAATTTTTAACATTAACATTGGCTTAGAAAAATGCAATAGATAATGTCAATATGTGTTTTTCTAAGTCAATATGTGGCTGACTGGGATCCTTGTTTTGGTTTAGCGGCCTCACTACTATTTGAGTTTGATGCCAATAGACTAGAACATTGGGCTGTAACTGCTA